CATTGTACTGCATCCTATTCTAATACATTAGCTATCAAGAAACACATAAAAGATTGGCAGATCTGAGAACAATTCAGACCTTCAGAAAATTAGCTAGTAAGGGGGAGAGAGAAAGGAGGTCTACGTGAGTTTTTATTCCAAATACCTGGGAGTAGTCCTTGAAGGCAAACTTATCGGCACATTTTGAATTGCTTCCCGTGCTTATTTATTTTACAAACACCAGCTAATTCCCTTAAAACCATTACGAGCAGAGAACAATGTGCCCAGATTGATACTGAAGTTAGATTATTGAGACAAACTCTGCTCACATTAGTATCAGTTGCTTCTTCAATTCTATGAAATGCTTCAAATGGTTTTATGATTTTAAAACGTGACTTCTCCAAAAAGAAACCAAAGTTCTTAAAATGAACAATGCTTCCCCTACAAGGTAGCTCATGTAAATTGTAACCGTGGTTTCAGCGGTTTAACCCATATTGAGCTCCCAGGGAAATAATTCTGGACAGAAAGGGTCTCTGTGACGAAGGAGACTTGCATGCATGACTCTGGGTTGTGCAAAGAGCAGCAGAATGTCTCATGGTCAGGAGACCAGAGTTCAAATGCAACCTAATCACTGTTACCTTGTGAATGCTGGCAAAGTAACTCAACAGTGTGCCCATCTGTGAAATGGGGGCAAAACCTTACTATCGTAATTGTTCTGACTATTACATAAGGCATAATATATCAGCATACACATAGACATACAGATATACATATACATATATACACTGGGATATAATTGATGCATGCATATGTATATATGTGCATATAAATATACACATATGTATTAACCAGAAAATATTTGCTATTAAAATTTTTGTTTCAGTTATTCAACATAATAGATCACATAGGTAACAATCATATATGAAAATAAATTCTTAGATTGAAATCACTGGATCAATTTTAAAAGCTTTAAACATATTCATTATTCTTCAAAAATATTTCAATTCAAATTCCCATTACATGCATGAGATTGCCTCTTTTGACGTGACCCTCATTACAACTGGATATTATCACGATTTTCATATGTGGCAGGTTAAAAAGTTCTTATTCAGTTGTTGTTTTAATTTTTTTGATTATAGGATAGTTAGAGGTTTTCTTAGTGTTTTGTCAGTTGATCATCTTTGTTCAATTTCCTCTGGGGGTAATTGTCTTACGTGGATTTGAAAAAAAAAAGCTTCAAAGATTGAGAATGCAACCATTTGGCTATCATCTAGATTGCATACTTGTTCTTCTTATATTCTTTATAATATTATAATTGTTTAACAATATTATGATTCTTAAATTCAGTTTTAAAATTTTAATGTAGTCAGCATTATTAATCTTTTACTTCATACTTCGTTTGTTTTAGTTTTCTCAGAGTAAGGCCTTCTCCATCATAGGAACAAATAAACATTTATACGTGTATTTTTCTAGTACTCGTGTGCTTTCATTTTTTATATTCAGTTATTTAATCCATCTAGAATTTATTAATACATGGTATGGAGTTACGTAGCTTGATTTTTTTTTAATTGAGTAGTCACTGAATTGTGTCAGCACTATTTACTAAATAACTCGTTTTTTTCCATTAATTTCAAAAACCACTTTTATTCAGTATTTGTTATTATTGTGTTTCTTCCTAGGTTTTCAATCTGTTCCAGTTGAGACCAGCTAGGGACAGAAAAGGGCTTAAATGACAAGTTATGTCAGTTAAAAATTTTGTCTAGTAGAAGAATGGTGCGAATGTTGTTTTCTTCCTCCTAATCTGTCCACTTGTAGCTTTCAGATCAGCCAATTAGAACTAGAATCCTGGGCATGCACAGTAAGAGACCAGGTTGACCGTCAGATGGCCTCATCCCATAAGGATTGCCTAGGAACCAAAATCTCTGGACATACCTCATTGAGTGGTGAATGAGCCCATTTCCGAAGCGAGAAGTCCGTCAGCCACTTCCATGCCAGAATCCTACCCCGACCTCTTTTTTGAATATATATGAAGTTAATGGGTATGTATGACTTCCCCTTTCCCGTGTGATATAAAACTGCACCCCCAGCCCTTTGTTCAGAGAGCGAGTGCTTTCGGGGAAGATCCTCCCTCCTCTCTTGCTGCGAGTAATAAACTATGCCTTGCTTTACATCCGCTTGACTCTCAGTTACTCTTAATGAGAGTACAAGCGGCGAACCCACTGCATTCGGTAACATATTTACCTGGCTTTTAGATATCTGCTAATACATTTGCTTTCTGAACAGGAATCCTACCTTTGGAAATACAGAAATTTTAGATTTTAAATTTAAATTTTAGAGTTTTATAGAAATAAAAGCACCACTATGTAATGATGTTTATTGTAATTAGTCTGTAAGGGTAGAAAATTGAAAAGCAATGCTCATCAGAATGGGAATGGTTGAATAACTGAATACATTCATATTATGGAATATTATGTGAGTTTTTATAAAGAATGAGTTATCTGTATAGAAATCTATTTGTTTTTAAATATGCATCTATTTCTATTAACTTATAGGAATGACCCAAGAGTGCAGACCACAATTTAATTTTGTTTATTTTTTTAACTCCAAGACCCTACCCTGTTTGCTATACATAAGCTGTCTCCTACGATTCCAGCTTGTTGATACCTTGTCCCTCAGTACCAGCCCCTGTGTGGTCTTACATCAAGATGTGCTGTGGTTTCCTCTCTGGAACCTATGAGTAATACATTCAATTTGTTTTCTGGCCTTCCTGCATGAGTCTCACTTTTTTTGCCTCACCTGACAGACCGTTCAAGATATGCACAGACCCCTTTGGGTCAAAATTAATACATATATTGATGTTAATAGTAGTAGAAACCCAGCAAGTAAGCTACCTAAAGTTAACCCTAAAATAATACAATAAAAATTTCACAAATTTGTGCAACTGACATTTGGATACGTATTATACATGTAAGGCATCTGGTTCATTTAAAAGTGAATGATGATGAAGGTTTATGCAGATTAATCATGAAACTCTCCTTAATAAATAACTTACCTGAGTCTTCCTCATCAAAAATTTGGGATACTTCTGATAATAATTTCTGAACAGATTGTTCTTGATCTGTCTCCTCCTGAGAATCATATTGTCTGCTTTTAGCAGTAAATGAAATTGTACCTACAACACACAGGTATGAGATGTCAGATTAACCAGGCATTAGTTTTCTAAAACTAAAGATTAGTCTCAGTTATTAAAGTCACTCTGGTGTTGTGGGTTGAATTGCGCCCCCTCCCAGCCCACTAAATATGTGTTGATTTCCTTGCCCTTGTACCTACTGATATGCTCCTGTTTGGAAATAGGAGTTTTCTTTGTTCTGTTATTGAGGTTATACCAGTGTAGGCTGGATCCTAAACCTAATCACTCCTGAGTTATAAAAAGACCAGAACAGACACAGAGACACACACACACAGGAGAAAACAGATGTCATGTCAGGGTGTCTACAGGTAGCCAAGGACAGCCATGGAACCAAGGAACTCCGGATCTACTGACAAGGAAGGAATTGACATGGCCAAGACCTGGATTTAAACTTTTAGTCTCCAGAACTGTGAACAGGCATTTATTTTCTCACAGTTCTGGTTTAATGCTCTATTTATTTACTCATTTAAAATATAATATTTACTGTTTTCTATAATATCAAAATATCCCAACCATAAATTTTCCTTCAAACATTTGATATTTCAGTTCTAATTATCTCTAGAAGTAATAAAATATAAGGATTACCCTAATTCAATTGCAAAGTATGGGTAGGCCTTAATATAAGCTATTTGATTATGTTGCATAGCTAGGGAGACCTGGTTCTGTATGCAAAGCTCCATCTATGGCAGCCTGGTATTGAGAGCTTGGTGAAGCTTCTGAATTATGTGAAGTGTAACATAGCTTCAATTTAAAAATTAATACCTATCTTTTATAAAACTACTTTAATATAGCAAAAATTACAGATAAAGTAATTGACACTAACAATTTCTATAAACATCACATTGGAAAAAAAAGTACCAACAGTTACCTAAGACCAGTAAGTTTTATGAAAGCTGATGTGGTTCTATTATTTGCCCCTTTTTCTTAGTTATTGTAGGTAAATTGTTGAAATACTATCATTTTAATGGAAAATTTGAAAATATTTCCTTGTATTTTCTGTTGAATTGTTCCGTACCACCATCAAGTTTAATGCCAAAATTAACACCTAGAGTTTGTGTTTGGCTTTATATTTATTAATTTCAAGCCAGATGTCTTAGTTTGCTAGTGCTGCTGTAACACAAATGCCACAAGTGGGTGCAATGGTTAAGTGCTCAGCTGCTAATCATAAAGCAGTTCAAATTCACCAGCCGCTCCTTGGAAACCCTATGGGGCAGTTCTACTCTGTCCTATAGGGTCGCTATGAGTCAGAACCGACTTGATGGCAGTAAGTTTAGTTTTTTTGGTGAGTATGAATTGAGATGTGCTCTAAGTGTGAAATACGCACCATATTGCAAAGACTTAGTACAAAAAAGTAAAATATACTATTAATAAATTTATATTCATTACATGTTGCACTGATACATTTTATTTGGATAAATAAAATGTACTATTAAAATTAATTTTACCTGTTTCTTTTTAATTGTTTTTAATATGGCCACTAGAAAATTTAAAACTACATATGTGGCTTTCATTTCATTTTTATTGAACAGTGTTGTTATAGACAAATCAGTTTCGATCATTTGCATTTTGTATCCATGCAAATATTTTATGGTGACTCTACCAACCTGAAACAGTCTCAATAGGTATTTCACTATATGAAGATATTTAAACATATAGTACCCAAACTGGCTCTCTTTTGAAATTTAAACATCAATTTTCAAATGATTAGTGGGTCATAAAATAATTCTAGTAATTATTACAAGCATTTTTTATAGAATAGAATAGAATAAGGAAGAACACAGCAGAATAGACTAGAATAGAGTCAAGGTTGTCCAATAGAACTTTCTGCAATGACTACAATTTTTAATATTTTCACTATTCAATATAGTAGTCAATAGCTACATGTGGCTATTTAAATTTTAATGTTATTCAATTTTAATTAATTTAAATTTGAATAGCCACTCATGGCTAGTGGCTACAATATTGGATAATATAGGCAGTAAACTCTCAGAGCACATCCCACGTAATAAAGATAAGTATTATTTCATAAAAATTTTCTTTCAGTTTTATTTGTATCTCTGTGTGTTTATGTGTTTTTTTACTCGTTTATGACATAAAATCAATAGTTATTATTTTTTGACCTCTGGGTTCTAGTCAAAAAAGATTGAAATTAACTTCTTTTTTTTAATGTATCTTATCCTCAGAGCCCAATATAGTGATATCAAGCCACAGAGACAGGCCATCAATTCCTTTAGGGAGGAGACTGTGCCTTTTCTGGGTTTTGTACAGTCCTTAGACATAACATTTTACTGTTATTAATAGAACATTTGTTGTTTCTTCCATTTTACAAGCTAGAGGATAGACAATTGACAAGAAAATGTGACACCTCATATTTACCACCACCTCCATTCTTTAACTTGTCATAACTACACATCCCCACTGTTGGATCATTTGTTTGTTTTATATGGGGTATTAAAAAAAAAGGGGGGGGTTAATAGGGAACCCAAGGTCGAGAAGCGAGGATGTTGACATGTTGTGGGGTTGTTAACCAATGTCACAAAACAATATGTGTACTGTTTAATGAGAAGCTAGTTTGTTCTGTAAACCTTCATCTAAAGTACAATAATAAATTTTTTTTTAAAAGTTGCTGTCGAGTGGATTCCAACACAGAGTGACCCCATAGGACAGAGTAGAAGTGCCCCATAGGATTTCCAAGGAACACCTGGTGGATTCAAACTGCCGACCTTTTTGGTTAGCAGCCAAGTTCATAACCACTGCACCACCAGGGCTCCGCATGGAGTATAACTACTATTATTAAAATGAGTGCCAATAATTTACCGCATTAATCCACAATTTAAAATAATCTATTCTATATTAGTAAAACAAAAGAAAACAGATTAATAATATACTAATAGAAATTCTCTCCAAAGAAGCCATGGCAAGGTTTGCCCTGCAGTCCTCTCAATATCTCACAGGGCATGGAGGTTGGGGAAGTATTCTTGTTCCTCATTACTACCTCCAGACCATTTCTTCTCCCATCTCCCTCCAAATCCCAGGCTTCTTTGAAGAGCATAACATTAGTCTATGTTGTCTGTTATCATTCTTGGAGTAGTCATCTAGTGGTCTCCAGATCACCACCAATTATTTCACTGAACAATTCTGTACTTGTTTTACTGTTGTTTTCTTCTTGATTTACTCCTGTTATTAACCTAGGTGTTGAACATTCATGTAAATCTTCCTTTTCAGAGCCTAGGATTTCAGCTTCTTGACTTCACTTTAATAATAATCTTATACTCTATTTCACCTCAGCGAAGGTCAAAACCACTCATATTTCAAAATTTCAACTGCATACTTTCCACTCTCTGAACACTACCTCCTGTTGTGTAGCTCTTTTCTCCTACATCCCTCCTTCAATAATCCTTTTATTACTCAGGGACTTCCAGTTCACTGACCCTACCATTTTTCAACTGTTCATCATCACCCCTAGATGCCTTCACTGTCCTCCCAACCCAGCTCCAATTCCATGACCCATTACCATCATCCATCCCATAGAGACTCCCTTAAACCCTTGTATTTCTTGTCCTCCTTTGTTCACAGGTGCTGGAATGAAAATCCTGCGCTTACACTAGAGCAGCAAAATGAGACTGCAGAAAAATACACAACCCTGTTGACTGGAATTATTTTAAATGTATTACCACAATCCTAATCTTAGCACTCTGATATATTATTTTAATGAATTCTTCCTGCCATCCTCTGAGATGACAATTACACACCTTCGCCTTTCCCCTCAAACTTCCAGTACTTCTTTCTTCCTTTTCATTCCCAGCTGATCATCTTGTTTCTATTTTGCTATAAAAATTAAAACTAGCTTCCCTCAATAGCAATAATATAATGAGAATAGGTCATGATCACACCACCATTAACGTGAAAAAAAAAATCTCTTAATCTACATTGCTTAGATTTGGAGCTCTTATTTCCTTAAAATAAATTCCAGAAGTGGCATTACTGCATCAATGTATTTAAATATTTTATGGCCATATATAACCAATCAGTAAATTTTGAAAGGGAGTTGTAAACAGTGGCAATATTAAGTTGCCTTCATTTTAAAATTATATATTTTTCCTCCTTTCCAGCTTTGGGTGTTTTGAAAATGCAATAACTAACTAAACAAAGAAAAATAGTAGAACAATAGTAGAATCATCTTTTTCTCTCTTCTTCCCCACTCATCTGAAAACAACTATAGTAGGCCTGATATTTCCCATGCTTTCAAATATTTTTTTAATTTACCATCTGGCTTTTTGGGGATCCAGCACAATAACTTAAATGGGGATATTTATACTATGTGGATTATAATAGATAAATGCCCATTCTATATGTATATATATGCAAATTTAATATCTGTGGGTATCCATTTATGACAAGATGGAGAACATGGACATCTAGAAAGAGCATGAATTTTAATTATTTACTACCTACAGACAATCTTCCAAAAGATTAAAAAGAGGTATTTCAAAGACCACTTGATGACTGAAGTTTACAAAAATGCATTGCATTTAAAGCAATATATTTAGGAAATTATTTTTAAAGAAACAAAATACTTTTTAAAAACAGCTACTCCTGAAAGAAAAGTACCTGGACTTTCAACCATCATTTATGAAATATTCAAAAAGAAGTTTAATCGGTAATGCTAGGAGCAAAATCAAACCCAAAGCAGAATGTCCAGTTCTCCCTTCATGTTTGACCTCAGGACCTAGTAGTCAATTCTCGAGCTACTTATTTGCAAAGGGTGGTGGCTTATGTTAAAAAGTAGGGAGAATAAACGGTGTAGCTTGGCTCAGTCACCGTTAGCAGCAGCAGCAGCAGCGACTGACTTATCTTTAACGAGTGGATAAGATAAACTTAAAAAAATAAAAGTACCAATGCAGGGGAATGTGTGAAAGGTGACAAATGAGAAGTGCTAAAAAAAGAAAAAAAAAGCTGTCAAGTCAATTCTGATTCATCTG